AAAGAGATTATAAGTTTAATAACCAAATTCATAACTGTAAGATGAGAGAGTGTCAACAATGCACAATCCAAAGCATTTCTGTAAACTTAAAACAAATAAGTCAAGAAAGAAATTGAGGAGGGGCTGGGCAGATGGCTCAGTGGAATAAGTGCTTGCCTGGCAAGTGCAGGGGCCTGAGTTCTAATCCCTGGTTCCACCAAAAAAAATCCCTCAAATCAATTTTTCTATCTCTACAATTGATCTTTGTAGCCTGAAAAATGCTCTATAACTTTCTTTTATGTATTTGGTATAGGATTTTACCATGCAGTTTGGACTTATAGAGATCCTCCTGTTTACAGCCTCCACAGGGCTGGGATTACATTCATGTGCCACCATGCCTGGCCTCAGTGGCCTGCTCAATGCGTCCAGGGGTGATGCTTGGGGTTCAGCCCAGGTCAATGAGATTGCCTAAGCAAGAGCTTAATCTGCTGAGATATCTTTCCAGCCCCCCTTTTAAAATTAAATAAATGCTCTCTTTCCAACTCACCTTATATATGTGAAATAGCTTAATCACAGTTATACTTTTTTCTTTAGACATCCCTGTCACCAGACCAATTGTAACATATGCTTATATGTGTCCAATAGGAATCACTACACCATTCAAGACCTTGATATGAAAATGAAACTGTGCCAGTTTGAGGGTGTATATTCTGGTCAGATTTTGTATTCCAATCTCTCTCCAGATGGCATCCACCTGCTCTGGAGTGGAATCTGCTTAGGGGATGACTTGAGAGTTTAAAGACCAATTAGAAATATGGAAGAGATGTTCAAACTTTTCTGTATTGATGTGGAACACACAGTCAAAGTCATTGGAAGATGTTTACTCTTTCTTCCTAAATCTGAAATGAAATGCTAAGGAAAGTATTAATTAATGATGCAGTTTTACAACTAGAAAGATGTAAAAAGAAGGAAAATTGTCAAAAATGCCTTATGTTCAGATTTTGTTTGCATTTAAAAATAGTACTTATTTATTTTCAAAATATAGATGTGAGCCACAGGAAAACCAGTGACCTCAGGCCTCTAAAGCATTTACTATCCTGGGACCTGAGGCTGCTCCATCTCAATCCTTCGAGCTTGAAGACAAAAAAGCCTGAAACAAAGCTTTTCCCACCATTACCAAATGTAAGTTTTCCCCTACTTGCCCTTCTAGTCTACAGGATGGGCTTCTAGACAAGATGTATTCCCACTCTCTACAGGCTTACACCAATCCTTAGCTGTATTTATGCATGCTCCTTAAGGGTAATATTCCTTCAAAAAGTAAATAGACAATTTGAAACTTTCAGAGTTCACATGCCCTTTTCTCTCAGTGACCTAAAATAGATAAAGTCAAATCTTGGAAAAATTTTAGAAGACCCTTATAAGTGCATTGATGTCTTTAAAGTATTTACTGTAAAGTAAGAATAAGCTAAGGTGAAAAGGTGTAGTGTTGGTTTTAAATCAACACTGACCTCTAAAGAGACACAGGTAGTATTACATGATGCTACTGCACTTAGACATGAATATGATTATTAATTTAAGAAGACCACAAGATAGAAAACCAAGCGAACAACCAGTTCCCATTGAAACTTAAGCAATCCCCACTCAAGACCACTGCTGACATAATACCCAGACAAGAGATTAGAGGAAGAAACATTTTTAAGTATATATGCTTAAAGGTCTACAAAGAACTAAAACAAAGTCTTCTAGTTATTTTAAATTTTCAACTGTATATCAGGAGAAAGATGAAAACTCCTCGGCTCTCTTTGAACATTTAATAGAGGCACTGGTAAAACATACTTCACTAGATTTTAATTCAAGAGAGGGACAGATTATTCCTACTGATAAGTTCATTCTTCAGCTCTAGATGTCAGAATAGAATTACAAAAGATAGCTTTTGCTTCAGATAGTTCACTTGATACTTTAGTAAAAACTGCCTACTTACTATTCCATAATAGAGACTGGGAGAAAACTAGGGAGAGAAAATAAAGAGATAAAGAAATGATTGCCTTTTTTGCATCCTCAAGATGAACAAATCCTAAGTCTGATTCTTTGTGCACCAAGAAGAGCTCATTGACTAGATTCTACTGCTACTGCCATCAAAAGTCAGGTCACAGTAAGAGGGACTGCCTTAATAAGGCACTCAAACCATGCCCTTACTGCCAAGACAGCCAATGAAAGTAAGACTGCATTCTGAGTTAAAGGCCCTAGAGTTCAGATTCAACTTCCTAGACTCTTCTTCCATCCAATAGGGTTGAAGGCCTCCAGAGCTGCCTCCATCCTCTAGTAAGACTGTTATTTTTACCTGTCATCTCCATGGAGGATCCCTGAGTAATCATGACTTGAAGAAAAACCCAGTCTATTGCTGGAAATTGACACACGTCTCTGTCTTCTCAAACCTTGGCCTTTCTTCTAGTCATTGTACCTCAATAAAAAACAGCCTTTAAAAAATCTTGCTTAAGCTGTAAATAGGATGTCATCTTCTTCACTTATTCCTTCTAATTATGCCTAAAAGCCCAGCTTTCATCCTGGAAAGATTTTAACCTGTCTAAATACTCTAACACATATTAAGTTTTGCAACTCATCATAATTATGCTAAAACTGTTCTTTTTTTTTTTTTTTTTTTTTTTTTACAAACGTAATACATATTGTTGGTCATGTTAAAAAAATACTTAAGAGGATTTCATTGGTGAAAACATGTTCCCAAGAACAGACAAAATCCTGGCAAGGGTAAAACTATGTCTAAAAACACTAGCTGTGTAATTCCCAACAGTTTTGGTCTATAGATAATACCATGCTTTCTCTTTGGAACATAAAGCTCAGAGATCGAGTATCAAAAGAAAGAAATACATTGGTAGGGCCCCTAGCTTACACCCAGTGGCCATATTCAAAACCATAAATGGGACACTGGTTTAATTTATCTCAAAGCTATGTGCATCATGATAACAGTGCATGAAATCATCTGGTTGATTTCTGAGTTAATTCCTGTGATATTTTATGCTGATAATAAATACAGGTGTGGCCTTTCAGACTACATATCCCAAAAGTAACATTTCTTAATATTTTATAATAAATATGATATGTGTTTTAATTAGTAAAAACACAGATTACATTTTAAAATATATGTATACATAAAATATCTACCAATTGTATATACTTCCTCATCTCTACCTAACACAAAAATCAGTGTATGTTAAAATGTCATGATTTCAGTCAGTTTTTATAGGTACTTTCGAATTAAAATAAAAAAGCATTTCCCTATTCTCTTACTGCATATATTCTGCAAATTTCTAAATTTTAAGTATAAAAGCAAAGGTAATAAATTTTGAGTTCAAAAAGATACAAATAAAAAATATGTGATTTTCTCAAGAGGTATAACAAAAATATCTACCACACTGTACTTATATTACTTAAAATAGATGACAGCAAAATTAATGTATTAAACTTGATTTCATAAATTCTCAAAAGTTTAGGGATAGTTGTAACTAAAGCTAGAGGGACTTAGAGCAAAATGTCAGAGATCATCAATAAAGGGGTTTAAGAACTAGTGGGTTACAATTGCTGTCTTTTAAAATGTTTCTAAACTTACCTGTGTGCTCTAATGCTCATGCTTTGATTATAGATGCTCTAAATTCTCAGAAAATTTGTTCATGCTTAGAGGATGCCATACCCCAGGTAATAACACAGGTAAACCCTATAACAAATATGCTATATTACTCTTACATTCTTTTTGCTGGGATCCTCTAGATTTTGTCTAGAAAAAAGTGAAATGGCACATATCAAGGACTTAACTAACTATACTTAGCAGGCCTCAAGTGTCAACACATTTAGTCTCTCTACTAAATAAGAATCCAAAATTAATAAAACAGGTCATACTCCAAACTAAATAGCATTAGGCATTCTAAAAACAGCACATTGGAATACTTATAAAATTGTAAAAAGTAAATGTGCATTCCTGAGTCTTCTGCTAATGAATCAATAGCTGCTCAAAATATTAAATAACAGATAAATATCTGTGGATCTTACACTAAGGCTATTTATAAAAAGGCATTACTGTCTTCTCTTTGTGAAAACTTTGTTGACTGTATCAAAAATTATCCTGTTGATGTTATTATTTGGCCTATCTATACTTAATTATTTATTTGGCTTTGTCTCTTGCAGACTCAAAGCTGTATTCCTACATATAATGAAGACACCTGATTTCTATTGAAGGCCTTTAGATAAAAACTCTAGAGAGTTTTTCTAACTGCTTACCAACAACCCCTTTCAGCCTAAAGAAGCCAGAGAGATCATCCTCTATTATTCCCTCATGGTATTTTGGATTACTTCTTTAGACTGGGTAATGCAGTATGGAGCTCATTTACATAGAACTTTTACAGTCAGATGTCTAGGCCCTCAAAGGAGACAATATGGAAGTCAAGTTACACTACAGCTGTGAGACAGGCAGGCACTCCTGTTGTATGCCAGACCTCAAGAAAAAATATTAAACAAAGGCAATGTTATACCTCCCTAAGGACAGGCACCAGGGTTTGGTGTTAGCAAACATTTTGAAAAAGCCAGAAAGAGGAACTAGCCATACCCATTATAGGAAGAGCTCCTTTCTGTATTAATGTTTCCTTGCAATGTGACTGGCTTCCCCATTTGATCTCAATGTAAACAATTTTGCTTGATTAAGAAAATATTTTTTCTCTCAGTGTGCTTGTTATCTGTGTAGAGGAATGCTATTGACTTTTGAGTATTGCCATTGAAATCAGCTATAGTACTGAATTTTTTATTAATTATAGGAACGTCTTTGTGGAGTTTTTGAGTCTTGCAAGTAGAGAGGATCAATGGAAGAGATAAGAATATTCAGATACAACTACAAACACACTCAGTCATGTTATCTTTGACAAAAGGGCCAAACATATTCACTGGAAGAAAGAAAGCCTCTTTAACTAATGGTGATGGAAAACTGGCTCTCCTCATGCCAAAAACTAAAACTACACCTGGCTCTATCACCATGCACTAAACTAAAGTCAAAATGGATTAAAGATCTAAACATTAAAACACAAACACTAAATCTCTGGAAGAGAAAGTAGGTGGAAATCTTGAAAACATATGGGTAGGCAAACATTACATGAACAAAAATCAAACTGTATGGAAAATATTTAAAAGAATAAACCACTGGGACTTCCTCTTATTGAGAAGTTTTTGCACATCAAAAGAAATCTCCAACAGAGTGAAATGATAAGCCATAAATTTGGAAAAAAAACCTTAAACAATAATCACTCAGACAAAGGTAATCTATCTGAAATATATAAAACACTAAAAAAATAAGGCTCCAAAATTAAAAGATGCAATCCAAAAATAGGCATCTGAAATGAATGGACACTTCTCAAGGAAGAAATATAAATGGCAAATATGTACATGAAAAAATGCTCTACATCACTGGCCATTCAAGAAACACAAATTAAAATAACATTGATATATCATGTCACACCAGAAAGAATGGCTATTATAAAGAAATCAAGTACTAATAAATCCAGGAGAGGCTTTGAGGAAAAAAGAACACTTCTCTACTCTGGTGGGAATGTAGACTGGTACCACCACTAGGGAAATCTGTGTGGAGACTCCTCAAAAAACTAAGACTGTAAATCTCATTCAATCCAGTTATTCTACATCTGGGTGTTTTCCCAAAAGGAATGAAAACATTTTACCATAATGCTATATATTCACCCATGTTTATAGCAGCACAATTTTTCATAGCCAAGTGTTAGATACAACTAAAATAGCCATCATCTTAGGAATGGATGAAAAGAGTGTGGTATTTTTATACAATGGAATATTACTCCAATATAAAGAAAGATAAATTCAAAAACCTCATAGGTAAGTGGATGCAAGTAGAGGCTCATAAGTGAAATAATTCAGACCCACATGTGTAAATATCATATTATCTACCTAGTGTAATAACCCAAATGAAGGAATAAAACCTGGAAGATATAGCAGATATAGTAAAATGGAAAGAAATGTAACTTAAGGATTAAACAATAAAGAGGAGAGACAGGAGAAAAGATAGGAAAAAGGGAGATGGAAATCTATGCAAGTGTACATACAAGATGGCTGAAGTGATTGCACTAAAAATTTCCATCAATTTTTTGAAATTAGCATTTAATGTGTAGAATTTTCAACTTGGCTAACTCTGCATGTTTATATCTGAGATGTAAGCAACTACACTAAGGACAGCAATGTGCAATGCAAAAACCATGCTTGAAAACCTGTCATCTCGGTCTTTTAAATGTGTACCATTTCTAATGTCATATCAATTATTACCATATTCTCTTTAAAATCAATTTTTAAAAAAGTAGTAAAAAAGACAAGAACAAAAATTTAAGGTTTCTTGAAAGCATGTGGTAATGTGCAATCATATGTCCATTCTTGCATAACTATATAAGTTAATCTGAGAAAATAGATTTGACAATAAAAATAAATCATATATCAACTATTGTTAATCAGCTGTTCTTGTTTTGAAAATTTGTAACATATGTATTGCTGTATGTTATCCTGGTTCTGTCTTTATTTCTGATTTTGTTCTTGCTTTTGATTTTACTTTTCAAAATAAAACTCAATTTTAAAAAGAAAGAATAAAATTGTGCTTGTAATTGTGCTTGTGACCTTATTTGTTGACAATAATTCTGTCCCACCTCATGCTCCCGTGCTGGATTTCCATTTTTTTCAACCTTAGAGACACTTCACCTTGTGGCTTTGCTCTATAAAAGTCCTTAGGAAAAGCAGGTTCCTTGGAAATCCTTGGGGTCTTCTTCTGTCCCTCTCTCATATAGAAAATTTCCCTCAATAAATAAATTATGATTTTAACCTCTATTCTCCTAAAATCCGTTCTTCAGTTTTCGAGCATATGAACTCATTTCCAGGTATTCTTCAGGTTGAGAGGTCCTTCTCCTATATCAGTAACATGCATAATGCCTGTCAGTCTGGTCTTCTTAATATGGGCTACTTGTCATGACATGCCAGTTGCTGCTGTTCTCTCTTGTGTAGATGATTGCTCAAAAAGAAGGAAGTGGTGAATGAAGGCAAGAGACAGGAAAAGGAATATTGTGGGACTGTCCTGCTTCAAGGTTCTGTATGTTTAGATTTTTGGACTTATGTGTAAACATAAGAAGTATATAATTCTTTATACCTATTTTTTAAAAATATATTCTAATTAAAAAAAAAACAGAATGTTGTGTGTATATTTCTGACATCTCTGCAAATCTGCCATCTGTATTGCATAATCTATATTCACAGATCAATTCAATGTCTGTCTCTGTCATAAGTTTAATGACTAGCTGTTATTCTCTCAAAAAAGCTGGTAAAATCATTATTTTTCTTGCCATCAACCTGGGCATTGGAATTTTTGTATGTTGCATAATTCATTGTGGTAAGTTAGTGTCTGATATTTCCTTGCTCTCCTTATAACTCTATCAAGACATGATTCCTTCTATGTCTCCTTTAGATTAGCCAGGATGACACTTTTAGTTCCTGGTTAAGTAGGATCATTCTGAATTTTCCAATAACCTATTAAGAATAAGTAACCTCAGTGTGGAGGAGGTGAAGTTGTATAGGAAAAAAATTCCAAAAGAGGAGACAAGAGGGCTGGGGGGATGGCTCACTGGAATAAACGCTTCCCTGGCAAGCACAGGGGCCTGAGTTTAATCTCCGGTTCCACAAAAAAAAAGATAAAGAAATCAATATTTTAATATACTATACTTTTAAATAAAAGCTTCAGATTTAGAACTCAAACTCAGTTTATTTACTTATTTTCCCCTTTCTTTAAAACCTCAGCAACTTCCTTTCAACTGCAAATTGGTCTACCCATTTCTTTTCAATTTGCAAAAGTCCTCTTTCATCCAAGAATGGAACTCCTTTTCTGGATATTCCATATGAATAGTGCATTAGTTCACTAAGGAAGGGGCATCCTCTCCCACTCACTAGAAAAGCCTAAGGCTATCGATTTTTTTTAATTCAACAGACTTCCACCATCCAAAATACATGAAATATCCCCAGTTCCTAACCATATTGTTCCTCATTTCTTTGAGCAACTGCACTTGGTCCTTGAATGCATCTTGAGTCTAACTTTAATAAACCCTCCTTGTGCTTCTTTTCCTGATGCGATCAGAAATTACTTTCTGTGACAGGAGTCAGTAAACCTGATACTTACTTCAAAATGGTGAGTTAAATTTCTATATTTTGGCCATTGGGAATCTCAGATCCAGCCTAGAGACAGGTATATGTGTACAATTACATACACATATTTACCATACTTATGCGTATTTATATGTACACATACTTGCATATCCATTATGCTTGGTACTGTGTAAGCACAATATTAGAAGGTTATTTTTATTATGCTTACTTTGATATAAAAATCTAATGAGAAAACTCTTGAAACAAAGATATTCTTAGTCATAGAATCACTAAACTGGACAGTTTGTTCAATATTTGTGTTCATAATTCCAAATGCAGAAGGTCAATTTCAAAATTCATGAGAAATTTTTTATAATAGTAGACCATAAGAACAATACAATATCATCCAGGTACATTGTAATATGCTTTCTTTCCTATACAAATTAGAGAATGTAGAGAGTTCAATCTCAAAAATTCATTAATGCAAGGTAATAGTGTTATGTCAGTTCAGAGAGGCACTTGAAATATCTTATAAAAATATTTATTTAAAACTAATGCTCTAGGGCCAGCCAGATAGCTCAGTGCACTAAAACACCTGCCTAGGCAGATGCAGAGGCTGGTGATTCAACCCCTGAAACCACAGGCCATGCTGGCCTTGCTCCCAGGGCATGCTGAGACAGTGATTGAGACTGGGCATGGTGGCGCATGCCTGTAATTCCAGCGCTTAATGTAATGGGTCAACTCACATTTTAGATTATAAATGTAAGTCTTGTGCTTTCTGTTGTAAATGTATACTCACCACTGCTCTAAGTTGTTTAGTAACTAGTGGCTGTTTCTTACTCTTTGCTAAGATAAAATTCCTGTAACCCTCACCAATTCTTTTTAATAAAGTTAGCTTACAGAGATAACTTCAAAGGGAAATTAAATGAGCTTTAACTTCTTGTAACCTCCGGGCTATGCAAGGCTGCCTGCAGGTACTCAGGTGCAAATTAACCAGAAACTGAAACAAAAGCCCCAGGAAATATAGTTTGAGTAGTGGTCCCAATCATTCTGAAAGCATTTTTTTGTGTCCGACAATGAATATATTTACCAAACTGAAAGTGGTCAGACAATAAATTTGTTTATCAAACTCAATGTGGTTCCAGGTTTTCAAACCCTTCCCTGCTTCCTGGGCTGCTGCCTTTGGGCCTCTCCTGCGTGAGAGCCGACCAGGGGCCCTGAGCTCAGTAATAAACGGCTTTCCAAATTCCAATCTGGCTGATCTGGTTCCTATTCTGAGTGATCCATAACACTTAAGAGGCTGCAAAACAGCAGGGTCACTACCAATTTGATATGTGTAGTTAGACCCTGTGGACATTGTAGTAAATACATAAAAAAATAAAATAAGAGTGACGTTCTTATCAAAACTTACCTTTGAAACATTAATGCTAATTATTTTTAACATTCTGATCAAACTCCATTTTTAGATCGTTCTCACACTTGGTAATAGAAGGAAGACTGGGGGATTACTTTCTGGTATTGCCTAGACTATTCTCTGGCAAAATCCCTTTAACAAGTCAAATTTGGCCTTTTTTTCCTTTTTCTTTTTCTTTTCTTTTCTTTTTTCTATTTTTTTTTTTTTTGAAATCTGGCCTCTTAAGAAGGGTAGAATAATTCACATTAAGGATTATGTACATTTATACTTGTGACATTATTGGTAATATTTTTGTACCTAATACACATTGTGCTTAAGCCTCACCAAATTTAATTTGCAAACTACCTTTCATGAGGCAATTAAAAAGAATAGTCACATTCTGTCTCAAATATTAAAGCAATAAGCACAGACATACTAGGAAAATAAGGTAAATGATATATTATTATTATTATTATTATTATTATTATTGTACCCCGGATTGAACTCTGGATCTTGCACTTGCTTGACAGGGTTTTATTCTGCTGAGCTATTGCCCTAGCCCCAAAAATTTAATTTTAAGAACAGAGATAATTTTTTTTCTGTTGTTGTTTTGTTTTGTTTTTGGTCCTAGGGATTGAACTCAGGAGATTATCTCTAGTCCATGCCCTCGAATTTCAAGACAAGTTACAAGATTTCACAGACTGGACTAAAATATGTTATCCTCCTGTCTCATAACCCCAGAACACTGAAATTAAAGTTAAAAGTTTATGCTTTAACAGTTGAAAGTATACTTTCTGCAGAAGATTTAATATTAATGTATATTCGAGCAAAAGTAAAAATTTTCATGCTGAAATATGACATTCAAGAGCTCAGTTTCTCATATCACACTCACAATCATCCATGGCTAGCTTAGTTTTAGCATTCATCCCTATGATTCCATTGATGTCTTTTGTTAGGGTAATTTTAGAAGAAAGATCACAACACTGGTACAAAGAAGCTATAGGATTTCAAGTATAGCTGATTAGCTAATATTGATTCAATTGTAAATGAGTGAGGTGAGGTCTTATGCAAAAAGCAAAAATATTTTTGAGTTTGGGGCTAGGTGATCTGATGACCCACATATTTGTTTGATGCCAACACGGTTCCCTAAACTAAGTTAATATATCTATTATTGTAGGTTGATGTTTGGAAAAACAAACCTTAATTCTATTTTCAACCTTTTAATGTCCCTTTTCTTTCTCCTTGGTGATCATCATTTTTGTAAAGATTTCCCAGCTTGCTACTATTTTTTAATTTTGTTCTCCATTTTTTTTTATTCTTCTTAGTGGTTAATTGCTGTACAAGATGCAGACTTGTGATCCTATTTACAAACACCATTAGAAAAAATCATTCTATTCATTAAGAGAATGCAACTATATATCTATCCCAACCACTTTGAATTCACAGATACAAAATGGACATTCATAGTTATACCCCATTTTTTTAAGTTCCGTTATTGAATATTATAGGTGTGTAAACTCAGCAAAATATTCTAAAAGAGTCCAGTAACTGTTCTCCATTTTATATTTTGAGTTTCTCAGTAAAAATAACCATGAATCATTTAAGGAAAATGTATAAAGTATATTTTTTTAAAAATTCTTGTAGTTTTATTTCAATGGAGTAACTACCATAGCTTCAGAAACTTAAAGAAAAATATTGTGACATATTTGAAACCAATTTTCTTTACAATATACAGTCTTACCTTTGCTGCTTTTTTTCCTTCCAATTTTCTCTGATGAAGGATAAAATTGAGGCAAGGGAAGCAAAGGAAAACAAAACAAATAGAAACAAAATAAATAATCAATTCCAATTTATTTATTGACTATACATTTTTAGAAAGCTGTTCAGTATTTCCACTGCAAGAGTCTATAGTTTTCTTTTGAAGTAAGTAGTTCAATCTGCTATAATTTTAATGCTTTCTGGAAAAGTATATAATATCATTAGAAAACTCATACAATAATATAAAGAGCCATACAAAAAAATTTTAACTGCAATGATAAAAATAAATTATATACTTAGCCTACAGAGACATTAAGCAAAAAGGGACACTCTTTGAGACAGACACTTTTTTTTGTAATATCTTTGTTCATCTGTTTTTAATTGAGTGAATCACTGTTTCAAGCATGAACATATTTATTAATAATAAGACCGATTAGCTAGGCAGGAAACTTACAAATTCATGAGTTGGGAGTAGACATAGTATCTACTACATAGCATTGGGATACTATCTTTAAATGCTAAGTCCATAATTTGGAGAGCTCCTAGAGACATTTTAATTCAAATCTATTCAAATAAATCATTTTTAAAACCATCATAATGAAGTCTTTTTTCTTTCATTTTATTTAACATACTTAGACTGATAAATTTATGATTTAGTATTCAAGAAATATTTTACACATTTGTCCTTATATATTCAATCTTTTCTGCAGTGGATGAAAGTACTATGATATGTGTGGACCAAATATCTGCATTTGTAGCTAATGATGTTCGCAAAATACTTTCTTCTTGGTTTTTATCTTAGTTTCTTATTCTTGCTAAAGAAATGCAAATGTTCCTCAGTGATCCTTCTTTAAAAACAAACATTACATAAAATTGGGATAGTGGTAAGGCTTATTCCAAAATAAAAGCAAATGAAAAGAAAAATATTGTTAAAGTCATAAGAGGTGAAATGACCTGTATTTTTATTCAATGCCTTATAATTGAGCAAAAAATACACTTTTTCTGTCATTTTAAAGTAAATAGTACTGGGCATAGTGGCACATGTATGTAATCCCAATACTCCAGAGGTTGAGGAAGGAGGATTGCTGAGAGTTTAAGTCTTCTCTGGGCAACACAGTGAACTTAAGTTCAGCCTGAACTACACAGCAAGATCCTATTTCAGAAAGAAAGGAAGAAAGAAGGAAAGAAAGAAAGAAAGAAAGAAAGAAAGAAAGAAAGAAAGGAAGGAAGGAAGGAAGGAAGGAAGGAAGAAAGAAAGAAAGAAAGAAAGAAAGAAAGAAAGAAAGAAAGAAAGAAAGAAAGACAGCTGATAATTCAAAATCAGTATTGAGGTAAATATTCAGATTTGCATTTTATTCTATTATGAAATGAAATTTGAGGGTGCTTTTAGTCCTTATTCTTTAGGTATTTATTTTAAACTTAATATTTTCATATTTCCCACTTACATTGATCAAATTCAATGATTCATTGCTCAATGGTAAAATTCATTTTGTTTGTGAAAGCATAGCCTGAAAAATCCCTCTCAAATAATATTTTGAAGAAAATCTTTTAATTTAAATGTCATTTAAAAATCCATATTTAAACATATTTTATGAATAATATGCTTAAAATCATACTACAATCTTAACTTTTCAAAAAAGTAAATCAATAGATAAAAATCTCCTAAATTTTAATGATATATAAGAATATAAAAAACCCAAAATACTGCATTATGTAAAATTATTGTTTCCTTTTTTATTTGTTCTATTAGAAGTTACTTTCAAAACCACAGTAGATTTTAGTTAGATGCTTTATCATATATCATTGAGAAGTCCAAAATTATTAGGATCTTTAATGATCTGAGTAAACTTATGGAATTATTAATCTTGTCTAACTTGAAAAGCTATTTAATAGCTATTCAAGAGTTATAACAATGTTTAAGGCTATTAAATACTTTGAGATCACAAAACTAGGATGTGTTTAATGCCCTAATTACACATTATATTTAGTAACATTCTATATATTTTGTTACTTTTCCCCCATTTCAGTTTCTATTTATTAAGACAAAAAACGTGGAAAATTTTAATATGGTGGTTTTACCTTTATCCATACCATGGAGATACAGTAAAATCTGTCATTATGAGTGTGTGCTGTCTTCATGCTTGGAAAACATTAAT